TATTAATTACCATTAACTTTATTAAAGGAAATGACAATCTTACCTTTCTGTTGCATTTAATTTTATGGTAGTTGCATTTAATTTTATGGTAATTTAACTAATAATGAAGGATATTATGGTAAAAAACATATTTATTTTTAGAAGTAGACAATTATTTTAGAACAAACTAAAAAGGAAACATAAACTATTAATATGGAACGGAAAAAATATCAAACAACTGACATTGAGACGTGGTTCTAGTTGACGCTAAACCCTAATTTTGACATCCAAAAACAATAATTTGTTGTTGCTTACGTCATTCATGACTGAAGGTAGATTACGGTAGGGACCGAAGAGGAAGTTCCACGTAGGAAATGGATGTGGGTCCCGAATAACATTATGCGGCAGAGGTTCAGCATAGTAAGATTTTGTCTTATCCGGTATTTATCTAAAGTAGTGGTGTTCTACACCTAACTTGCATTAAATCATGATCGTTGGTTTCATCTCCCTGATTGTTCCTGGAACTGCCACGTGTTGCACATGCAATACACCTTTTTCTTAGCGGTTGCGTCCACTCCGTCTTATCATGCACCCCCACTCCATCTCCCATTTCAAACAAAATTGCATAACTATATCACTATTGTTGATTTGTTATAACGAATAGCCTTCCACCTACTTACAATTAAAAAAAAAGTGTTAAATATTTATTTTAAAATAATTAATAATAATATTTTTTATAAAGAAAATAAAATCATAAAAACTATTATATTTTGATTATATTTATAGTGTAAAAATCACAAAAGTCTTTGATATATTATATATATAGACTATATTAACGTGCTACAGTATATTAAAATGGAGATAGTATATTTTCATATCAAGCTTTAGTAGGTTTAGTCGAATATTAATGTTAATTTTTTTTTTAAAACCATTAAATTTCGATAAAATTTTATAATGTGAAAATATTTTAAGCGTGGATATGTTTTAGCACAAAACTAAAATGTAGTGATTACACCATAAAAATAACTAAAATGTAACAGCTTTATGTTATCGAATAATATTTATATGTGGTATTTAATTAATAATATTGATTTATTTATTAATATTTAGATTATCTCTCTTTCAATTTAAGAGATATGTAGGGCACATAAACAGCTTAAGTACATTTGTTTTGAATAGATATATTTTTGTGATTAAAAATAAAATTCTCAGATATATTTTTGTGTTTAACGGGGTCATACCGTAAAATTGTGGTGTCGGTTGCACAGTAGTATAACCCGATCATCTGAAGACAAGTATCAGGTCGACGTGTCATTAAATATTTGGATTGTGGAAGTGGGAAATATTTAAGAGTTCATCCACATGGATAAGATGTGATATTAAACTAAAATATAAAATTTAATCTTACAAAAGACAAAAGGTATGCTTGTCCATTTATGTTCAGAAAATAATTCTCTAATAATCAACTAAAAAATATTCATTTTTTTGTTTTAAAAAATACGAAATATTTATTTTTAATTGATATGTTTTATTTGATAACAAGTATGAATAGATGCTTCTAAAAAATACGAAATAATCAATTTTTTTGGGAAGTTTGGAATGTTTTTTCATTCGATGAGTTGGTTTACCGACCACAAATAGATGCTTCTATTTATCTCCTCCACCCCAACCCCAACCCTATCAATTTGGCTATTTCACAATTTCCCCCTCTCCCAGAATACGTTTTGGTAAACGAACTCCCGTCTGAGCTGAAAATCAAGTTTGTTTGGGAAGCAAAATTGTTACTACGTGATTATCCGAGTACGTTGTAGTTGGTTAATGATAACTTTATCTAATGAGCATTCTAGAGTATACACTGCAAACGAGAGACGAACACTAGGTTAGAAAGCAATATCGAACGATGGACCTCGATATTGCTCTTCGATGCCTAAGTCATATGTTGATTTAAAGCTGATGATTTTTTTGGTCCCTTGAAAGGATATCTTACTTACGTGATGTGTGCTTGGTCCCTTTTTATACATGCAAGTTGTTTCGGTTCATTGCCTTTCTAATTGAGTGTTCCTTGTGTCTAATGGTTGTAAGGGTAGAACCTTCAATATAATAATATTGTTTTTTTTTTCCATGTTTCTCGAGATGATGTCTAAGGATTTGTACGGAAGATTTCCTTGTTATAGTTTATTGCTATTTGGCATGATCGGTTGGTCTTTACTGTTGTTGACTGCCAAACCGCGTATGTTTTTGGGTCTCATTGATGTTATCCGACTTGTTCCTTGTCTTGCAGGCTCGAACTTATGTGTGGGCCAATCCCCATACACCATTAAGCCCCCATCCTAATTGTTAATGGTGGTTGCCAAATGGTTTTTAATAATTGGGCTTAAATAAGTATTAAAGTATCTGGGCAATGAAGCGTTTGGTGTGTATGACACACACTATGCCGCTCGTGTGGCCACCAACTTCCTTGATTTTTCAACAGTTGCTTTTCCTAATGTCTGCTCCTTATAAACATCTATCACATCCAATGGTCTTCTCCCCACTATCTTTTTAATTATCTTTTGTGTTCTTTCTCACTTGATTTTCTTCAAATCAGAAATCACAATGTCTCTATCTATAATACCCACCCTTAAATTGACCGTCACTCACGAACGTTTAGATCAAATTGCCATGAAATATCATCCTGTTGAAGAAGATTGCATTGTTATTCCTGGTGCGAATGCAATCATTGACCGTCCTCCATCTGGTAAGATTGATTTCTATCTATATTGCTTCAAAGCTAGTTTACGCGTTCCTCCTTCCGCTTTCTTTGGTCAGATTATTGAGGCTTATAAGATCCATACTAGCCAACTGAAACCTAATTCGATCTCCAAGATTGTTTGCTTTGAGTTGTTATGCCACACCTCCTTGGTTGTTCCCACGAGTGATTTGTTCGAATATTTCTTTCGGGTTTGTAATAGTGGTGATTGGTTTTATTTCCGTTGTAGGGGATAGATTTTTGTTGATGGTCTTCCAGAATCGATAAAACGGTGGAAAAATGAATATATTTGGTTGAATTTGTCTCGCTTTACATATCACAATGTATTTCATTTTCCTGGCACTATTAATGATTCAAAATCGGATAGGACTTCAGATTTAGTGCAAGATATAGACTTCCCACTTGAAAGTGTCGATGAAGAAGTTTCTAAAGGTTGTATTAGGGTAAGTTGGTATTGATGGATTTTGAGCACTACAACATTCCTATGGTGTACATGCAAACTCTAATAGCATTTGGATCTAGTTTGTCTAATGAACATGCAATTGAATATCCAAAGCTATAAACCCTAGATCTAACATATTATAAACTGAATTAGGGTTTAGAGAATACCTTTGATTGTTATGTAGCAATAAAAATCTATTCCTCCTTGTAATTGGCTTCAGAAAGCTTAGTGCCTCAAGTGTTGCACCTCTAATGGAGTCACAAACACCACTAGCAATAAGGATGAAGGAGGAGAAGAGAAGAGGCACCCAAAAACGTCTAGAAACCCTAAGGAATCAGTTATCCATGTTTTTGGTGCCCTAGGGGTCCTTAGATATGTGATGCTATTAGGGTTTTGAACTTAGGAAACCCTAATCTGACTGCTTAGGCTCTAAGCAGTCCATGGACTCCCTCCTTGGAGGCCTTGGACGATTTCTTATGGGTTTCCCCATAGAATTCGTCCATTTCATCCTCTACGGAGTCCATTAGCCCAATATTCAACTATCACACAATTGACAGTTCTAGTCCCCTTTATTTAATTAATGTCTTCTAGCCAAAAAATTAATTATCAATTAATTGTTGACTAATATTAATTAAACAACATGATTTCTCCTTTAATATATTATTCTTATAATATATTAATAAATCATAATTAATCTCCTCTCTCCTTAATTCTTCCTACAAGTTGCTATGGTGAAGGCAACCCAAAAGGACCATCCTCATAATCGGGTCAAGTACATACCAAAATAGTTATGGACTTAAACACTAATTCAACAAGTATAAGTCCTCATTAGATACGTATGGGTATAACTCCTTCATTGTATGTTAGGGGGCCAGATATTCATTTTCATTTTTCTATTTTTGATGTTTGCTTGCTCTTTATATATATATATATATATATATATATATATATATATATATATATATATATATATATATATATATATATATATATATATATATATGTATATATGTATACTTATGGTTTGTCTGAATAAATTATTAATGCCTTAGATAGGAGTCGTTTATCGCTCCTGTTGTCAGATTTTGTTGAGGGTAGGACTTTGCACGGGACTTAGACTCTGATGATTTTGAACTGCCTTTGATTGATGATATCTTGAAAGATGATGATGATGAAGATGAAGGTAGCAATGCCGGTGATGAAGAGGAGAACGAGGAAGAGTCTAAGTCTTCCATTCAGGTTTATGATTCATATGATACTAATGATGTTGCTCACAAGTGAACTCCTAATGTTCTTGTTTCTCATGTTGTGTTGAACGATGATGATGATGATGAGGATGAGGATGAGGATGATGGTGGCGATGCTGCTGAAGAAAGTCTTGTTCGTTGAAAAATAGATAGGGTCTCGGTTGCCTCAACCGCCTTTGCGACGAGATTATCTGATGGAGAAGGTTTCAGTGGAGGTAGGGCTGTGAAAAGAACCCGTTCTTTAGACCTTGGTGATTTTCGGTCATTTTCTGATAGTTTGGATGTCACTTAACTACTTTCTTACGTCGAGCAACTACATCAAACCATTCCTCCTTAAGATGGAAATGCTCCATATCCCTCTGGGCCCATTTATATTCCCTAATAGAAGTATAAACGAGACCAATCTCTTTTGGACTCAATGGCAGACATGTCTTTCTTTGAGAATTTTGCTTCCCCGGCTACTAAGTTAAGTTTGGGAGAAGGAATAGGGAACATACTCAAGAGTTGTTCAAAATGAAACTTGTGGAAAATATGGTGCTTGGACATGAAGTTATGTATTGGTTAGAGGGGAATCAAAAGTTGCATGAAGAAAATTGCAATATTCGTGATGAATTTAAGAAAATATTTGAGCTTGCAAAGCCTTGTTACCCCATCAACGGGGTTGTCTCGTAATGTTCAAACATTCTGTGATCAGTATGCGATCCTTTCAAATAAAGTTGTTGAATTGGAGAATATTGGTGTTGGTGTTAGGATGGTTCCAAAGGCAAAACTAAATGATGTTAAAGGTGAGTTGGTGCCCCTTCAAGTGGAAAAGGTTATTTTACAAAGCAAGTTGGCTGATCACCAACATTTGGAGGAGGAAATTGCTTTGATGCAGTGTAAGGTTGCATCTTTGGAGTTGGAGAAAACTAGGCATGTTGATAAAATTGATATGTTAGAGCATGATGTCAAAAAGTTGAAGAGTGATCACAATATATCGTCTTTGAGGAACACAAATTTGTAAGCTAGTGTTATTGGGTTGGGTGACCAAGTGTGTAAATTGGATGAAGATAAGAAGTAGGTGTTATCGGAGGGAATGACTAAAGTTGTAGATAAGTTGTTTGTTGACTCGTCCTTTTATGATGCTAATCGAGACCTTCAAGCTACTTGTATTGAATTTGGGAGGAGGTAGGGATGTGAGATGATGAACACCAAACACTGCTTAGGATGGGTCGTAGAGGATATGCCTTTATATGACCTTACTCGATTATAACGGTTGGCGGAAGTGTATTTTGTGCTATTTTGTAGTGACTATTTTGCCAAGCCAGGTCTTCCCCTGGATTTTATGGATTGGTTATGGGTTCTAGTCCAATCGTGCTGGCAGTGATGGGGCTTCCACTAGTGGAGGGGGTAATGATAATGCCTGAATGGTATGGGTGGATGGTTTGTTTTTGATAATGCTTATGACTGTTTTGGGACATTCTCTATTGTTGCTATTTACTTGCTTATTTTGCTACTATTTAAGTTGTGTTTAAGACTTGTGATCTTTTGGAGGATTGTTCTTGTTTGCCCCTTATGTATGAATTTGGCTATTTTGTTTGATTCTTGTTCTTCTCATCGAGATTTTTTGTTTTCCAACTTACTTTTCCCTTTTCACTGTGATATTACCTTGCATTGTGTTAAGTATAGTCCTTAAGCTCTCTCTTCTTGGTAGACCAACTGGCATAGTCAAAATTTCTCTTCTGCATGTGCTAGATTTTATGGGCGTAGTCATAATTTGAAAGGTGTTCTTGGCCGAGATATTGTGTGTTGACTATTGCATTGAGTTAATTAATTTTCTTTTCTTTGCTAAGTGGGTAGCCTTGGCCACGACGTATCGTTCGATCAACATGTTGTTGTGGTCAGTTAACCGATCTATACTTGTAGAATAAGCATATTCATTTTCTAATTGGTAGCCTTTGTCAAGATGTGACATTTGACTAATACATTGGTGTAGTCAGTTGTCCAAGCTACACTTATAGAATAAGTGTATTCTTTCTCTAGGTGGTAGCCTTGGTCAAGATGTGGCGTTTGACCAGCATATTGGTGTAGTCGGATTACCGAGCTACACTTTTTGAATAACTGTATACTTGGCTAACTAGTTAAACTTGGTCAAGATGTGACAATTGACCAATAGATTGGTATAGTCGGCTGACCGAGTTATATTTGTAGCATAAGCGTATTATTTGGCTAAACGGGTAGCCTTGGCCAAGATATGGCGTTTGACCAACATATTGGAGTAGTTGGCTAACCGAGCTACACTTGTAGAATAAGTGTATTCTTTAGCTAAGCGGGTAGCCTTAGTCAAGATGTGGTGTTTTACCAATATATTGGTGTAGTCGACTTACCAAGCTACACGTGTAGAATAAGTGTATGATGGGAATTTTAGGTAACAATAACAATGCACTTGCGGAATTTTACTTAACACTTAAGGGTACATGCAACCTAAATGGATATTTGTCTTTTTCACATCTAATAACGACATACTTAACTCCAGATTAATTCTAATTAATAAAAAATAATCCTGACTACCTTTAACTAATTCATATTTATTATTAACTATTTCTAATTAATTTATTGATCACATAATAAATTAAAAAATCATTTATATCTTTCATTTGATCAATCTAAGTGATTTTTTGGTTATGAGGGCAACCCCAAAAGGACTTTACTTTTATTCATCAAAATTATTCTAATTTAGTTAGGACATTAGACACATTAATCCTACAGTCTCCCACTTGCAAGTACAACTCCGAATAACTAGTAAAGAGTGTTTTCCAAAGACACTGCCAAACTCTGATTAGACGTTGGTCCTAAGATAAGTGATCAACTATCCCTTCATTCTACAAGATATCGTATGGACATGAGACATGGATTAGAATCAATCTCACAGTACAAGATTTTGTTTCTCGATTTCCCATCTTTGAAAACTGAATTCAAACTACTAACTGAACAGATGAATTTAGTCTGGGCTCGGCCAAGCACTTTAGATATCGACACAAAATTATCGAGCGGCCCACAAATATCACTTTTCCTGTTAAGGCAAAAGGAATGAATAAACTTTGACTATATTATCATACATTTTACTCATGAAATCATGCATGAAATTACACTTTATAACACCTAGTTGCGAGATGTGTTGGAGTAAACTAATGCACAACTTATTTGAAAAATATGACTTATATATCTATGTTTTGAAGAATAAAAGATATTATCGTCTTAGAATTACTCGTGATTGAATCCATGATGTAATCTCTAAGCATGGGTTTAACCAATACTTAAAATCCATACTTTCAAAGTACTCATGAATTTTGCAGCAATCCCTATGCAATGTCAATCCCTATGGTCAATCTACAATCAATTCATGGCAATCTTAAATCAATACCTACTTCCAAAAATATGACTGACTGTGGCATTTAGAATAAATTAATATACATGAAGTAACACGTAAAATGAAATACAATAATAAACTAATTGTTCTATGGCATCATACCCTTTGAATAGAAATACTCCCATATTATTTAATCATCATAACAATTACATATTTATCTATTGTATAAATGTTTTGGGGTAATCGAATCAACAATTAAACTTCTCAACATTTATCGTACCAATGCTCTTAGCATGTATATCATGTTTTCCTTTGGTCATAACTATTGTGAATGAATATTTGAAAAGATATTCACATCACAAATAGATCTCCATCCTCATTTCTTGGATGTAGTATAATTTCCTCCTTCTATGCATTGACCTTCTGTGATCTCAAAAATCCTTTGTTAATATGACTGTGGTTTCATAGAATGTTTCTAATTGTAATTTGTTATTTAAAACAAATCCAAGGTCAACTATGAAGTTTTCTAGTCCAAGTACGCTCCTTGGATACTTCAATTACACTAATGTGGTCTTACCCACATTGTCGAATCTACCACCATCTCCTACATGAAATATTTCATCCTACAACTCAAAAAGAATATCTATTTAGACTATGACTCAAAATCATCCCTAAAATTCATTTCATCATAACTCTTCTCAATCATGTTCTTTACTGTCTACAAGCCACCATTCCTTGGTGTCTTTTAATACTTTAGAATGTTCTTGACAGTTGTCTAGTCATTCGGTCAGACAAGTTTCTGATACAATCTCACAATGTTCAAACCATATGAGACATCTGTATAATCACATATCATAGCATTCATGATCTATCATATATCCAAAGCATATGGGACTCGACTCATCCTGTCATTTTCATGACTAGTACCAAGGACATTTGAGATTCATTCAAGTCCTTGCTCTGGACAAACCCTTTGGAATTTTCATGCTGAAACCTTCCAACACATTGTGATTTGACTGAATCCTATTAAGCATTTCGATCTATACTTTTAGATCCAAAGACCAAGTATCAATGTCGCTTCCCCTTGTCCATCATAGCGAAACAACTGTTGAGTTTTGCACTTTGCAATTTAGATACAATGTTTCATATTAGTATTATCATCAACATGCAATACCAAGAATTCAATGACACCCCCACTAGCTTTTACATGTACTCAAGTATCATATAGACTTATAGAAAGAAAATACTCTTGACTTTCTCAAGGAAGAACATATTCCTGCTAAGTGATGCTTGTTTAAATCTATGAATATATTTCTCAAGCCTACACACCTAATTTGGATACTTTATATGTTTAAATCATGTCATAATATATCATGTATCCTTTGAAAGTTTCCTTTTGAGGAAAGTTGTTTAAACATCCAATTTACCATATCTTATGTCAAAGAAGTCAACAATGGTAACAAATAACCAAATAGACATTGCTCAACTACCAATGAGAATGTTTCCTCATAATCAATTTCTTGAGTTCTGGGTGAAACCCATTTCTACCATACTAGCTTTGAATGTGTGTACATTCCTATCCATGTTAGTCTCCACATTTAATATCTAATCACAACCCACTATTAGAAGACCAGTCTTTGGATCAACTAATTTCAAAATTATTTATTCCTCATGAACATAATTTCTCTATCCTTAGAATCTTCTAATGGCAGCCACATGACACACTATTACTTCCTAGTAGCTATTAGCTTATCTAAATTGATCAATGTTTTATCACTAGTCAAATTATCTCCTTCCACAGTTAGATGAATCTCATAAAACCTGGGATGTGCTCTAACTATACTATATCTTGCGAATAGGTAAGGTAATGTCATTTGACTTCGTACAACTCTTCACTACCCAATCATATTATTAAGTATGATAAATATGTTTAAATCAAGTAACAATCATATTGTACGGCTACATTAAACACAACAAAGACAACACACTACCAATTAAGCATTTAGAATGCTTGTATTTATGTGTAAGCAGAAAGTTACTATGCACTCACCAGACTTAGGTAGGTGACTAGATAATTCAGCACTGCTCTGCCAAATTCTTTGACTTTTCTTTTGACGTGACCTAGATATGAATGTCACTAAGCCTTAGGTGATGTTTGTGTTTTCTGAGGCAAAATATTTGTAGTTTGCTGACCATATCTGTAGACATTTGTAATAGAAGAGGTGGACAAATGTTTGCAGTCTGAAAAAAGATGATTGTTTATTTTTTTAACATCTGTAGGCTACTAAAATAAACTAAAATATAAATAAACTGGTTTTTTTAAACTTCAAAGTGATATTTTAATATTTTTATGACCTTATTATAAATAATTAATAAATCTAGATCAACTTTTATGTATTATTGTATAAAAAGTGAAAATACAAATGGTACTAATTAATATATATATATATATATATATATATATATATATATATATATATATATATTATATATATGATAAAAACCAACAATTTTGGTTGCAAAGTTATACCTAAACATTGTAATTATGAATCAAAGAATTTGATACATAAATAGATGGAAATAAACTTCGATTTTTCATTTAGATCAATTAAAAACGTACCACAAATATTTTCCCATGATATTGAAGATACTTT